TCCCCTCACTTCATCAACCTCCTTGCTTACTCCTGCTTTCACTTCTCCAACAAGACTCTCCACCTGCTCTTGCTGCTTCCTTGCCTGTCTCACTTCCTCCATGCTTGGCACCTCCACCCACAGGTCCATTCCACCTTGTTTTGCTGCCTTTCAAACAGCAGCTGCATTGAGAACTGAGTTGGCAGCTTTGACCTTCTGGGATGGGCCAACCTTGCAAGGCACACAGCCCCTGTGCCTCATGATGCAGGCCTTGCACTTGACAGACTTTCCAGTCAGGCTGAAGAGGCACTGAAGGTTCTTCTCCTTGCACCACTGGCACATTGCACCACCAGTCATCTCCATCCACTCCTCAGCTGGCTTCTTTGCCAGCTTCTCATTGTACTTCTTGTGGCGCAGTGGGTCTCTGCCCTTGCCCTTGTCTGACACTGCTTCCTCTGCCTGCTCCTCATCCACCTCCATGTCATCAGTGCATGCAATGCTTGCTGGACTGTTGGGCTCTGGGTTGTAGTCTGATGCACTGTGATCATCCTCACTGTCCAGTGAGGGTGAGGCCATGAACTGTGGTCCTGGGGGCTGGACATGGTGTTCATGCTGAGTGATGAAGAGGGTGGGTTGTTCTGGCTGCTGAGCATGCAGAGCATGCTGGTTGATGAATGCTGGGGGCTCTGGAGACAGCATGGTGTGTGAGTATGGGTGTTGAGTGTGTGGTGTGGTTCAGGGATGATGGTGGTCAGGAAGAAAGAGGGATGAAGAAAATTTTCTCTTATTTATGCACTATCCACTAGACATGCATGAACATGCATGAGGATGCATGGGCTGGCTGCACAAGAATGTTCCAGACACATTTGGTCATGTGACCAGCCCTGTGAGGTTGTCAGGTGATGCGGTGAGGTTGGCAAGGTCCTTTGGTGAGGCAGGTGAGGCAGCACCAATGCATGGCGAGGTAGGCGAGGTTGTGCACCACTCATTGATGATTTCCTCACTGAGTTCATGTTCTTTCCACCTGGTTCTTGGCATGCCCCAGTCTTTTTCCATGCTCTACAAAATGGCTTTCTAGGCTTTTGAAAAAGTCCAGTGTGGGCAGACCTCACCAGCCAAATGTTGGGTTCCCCGCAACAAAATCTTGCCTCACACCGTCAATCGATAATTATATTTGAAACTTTCTTCACCACATATGCCCCTCAGTGGCCTCTACAAGCTGGTCTAAGTCCCATCCAAAAGCCTGTTTGGGGATACCCTTGTAACCCTAACCCTAACCCTAACCC